CTCTCTCTTTCTCTCTCTCTTTCTCTCTCTCCCTCTAATCCCCCGTTTTTTCATCTTCAGGCATTGAATATTAAACAATCCACATCTATGATAACCTTGAGTAATAATTTTATATTTAAAAGCACAAAGTAATCAATAAAATGTCCAATTATTTTTTTTAAACTATCCATTGTTCTGCGGGAACGAAAAATCGAAGGGACTAAACTAAAACGAAAAGCCTTGCGTTGGATTTTGTTCCCTCGGTCAGATTACTGCTCAATGCCCGACCGTTTTGTGTTATCGTTGCGTTGTGGAGCTTGGTTTTGGAATCGATAAGCTAACCATATGTGAGGCAGCGTGGTGGAATCAGGCTCTCGTCAATTTTTGGGTTTGTAGAGTTATTGGTATCATCTTAACACTTGTTCATTTGTCTTTATTTGGGTGGAAAAAATATCCATTTATCTTGAATACTAGTTGAGATATTTGCGAATGAAGGGGGTGGGGGTCACCCGTTTTCAGAGGTAAGATTAGTGAGAAAGTTGCCCCCAAAGATTAGTTATTTCCTTAGCTTAAGACTCCGTGGTCACTGAAAATTTACTCTTTTTTTTTGCCTTTAATCAACGTTTTTCAGAAAAAAAATCCATACAGAAATGAGTTCTTTAATGGGAATGAAAGGTGTTGAACCAAAAAACAAAAAAGTGAAAAAAATTCACGAACTTGCAGAAAAATGCCAGTTTCTTCACTTTGATTATTTTGACGACAGCCTGATTCCACCACGCTGCCTCACATATTTTATAACTGCGTACAACAAAACGCCTGGCTGGACTACGGTTCACGGTACTCACTCACAGCACAGCACGCGCGTTGATACAAGCAGTGGGTAGCTCATTGATTGACTCCGCCCGCCTGTGGGCTGATGGTTATTTTTTTGGGTGGTGGATTTTTTTTCCGTCGCAGAGAGATTTTTGTTCTGTTTGTAAAACGTTGCACCCAGCTGTCTTTTGATTCCTCGAACGGTTGTAAGTTTTCTTTCACATCTTCGATCATAATCATAGTTTTCTATTATGATTGAAAGCAGCATATTATATGGACGTAGTTTTTACTTTTCGAGTCAATTCCCTCAGTGGAATGCATAATATTCTCTCTTTAATATATGAAAGGACACATGAATGAATGTAGATCAACAACTGTGTTGAGATTATATATACTTGGACAGTGCTTGCTAAGGCGGTTTTGCTTATCATTATTATCACATGAAGGCGGTTTTGCATATCATAATATCACGTGAAGGCGGTTTTGCATATCATAATATCACGTGAGAGGAGAAGCGAGGTGTAGATCTGGAGCGATGTTCCTGAGTGCTCTGCACTCGTTTGATGAAGACGACGGTGTAGGGTGAGTTGTTGTTGTTGTTGTTGTTGGTGGTGGTGGTGGTGGTGGTGGTGTTGCTGTTGTTGTTGTTGTTGGTTTGGTGGTGGTGGTGTTTTTTGTTGTTGAAGTTGTTGTTGTTGGTGGTGGTGGTGGTGTAGTTGTAGTTGTTGTTGGTATTGTTGTTGTTATTGTTGGTGGTGGTTTTTGTTGATGTTGGTGGTGGTGGTGGTGGGGGTGGTGAAGGTGGTGGTGTTGTTGTTTTTGTCGGTGTTGTTGTTGCCGCTGCTGTTGTTGTTGTCGTTGTTGTTGTTGTTATTGTTCTTGTTGGTGGTGGTGGTGGTTGTGATGGTGTTGTTGTTGTAGTTGTTGTTGTTGTTGTTGATGGTGTTGTTGTTGTTGTTGTTGTTGTTGATGGTGTTGTTGTTCTTGTTGTTGTTGTTGTTGTCCTTGTTGATGGTGGTGGTGGTGTAGTTGCTGTTGTTGTTGTTGGTGGTGGTGTTGGTGTTGTTGTTGTTGTTGATGATGTTGTTGTTATTTGTTGTTGTTAGTGGTGGTGGTGATGTTGTTGTTGTTTTTTATGGTGGTGGTCGTGGTGGTGATGGTAGTGGTGGTGGTGGTGGTATTATTGTTGTTGTTATTGTTGTATTGTTGTAGTTGTTGTTGCTGATGCTATTATTGTTGTTGCTGCTGCTGCTATTTACACACACACACACACACGCACGCACACACACACACACACACACACACACACACACACACACACACACACACTAACTCACTCACATACACATTTATTGTTTGTGGGGGCTCTCGTGGTTTAAAGGTTAGGTGTCTGCCTCTCAGTCAATAGGTTCCGGTTCCAAACATGGCTACGACGGAAAATGTTCTTCTCTAAAATTGTCTCCTTTCACCTCCTTCCCTGCTCTCTAACTATGTTTTGTTGTCATCTTTCGTCTCCTCTTTCTGTCCCCTCCTCTGGGCTCCTGACTCTTTCTGCAGCCTTCCTACTGTTACTACTTGGCTCCTTCTTACTGCTGTCTTTCAGCCGCATCCCTGATCGTAGGGAAGCTAAGATTTTACTCCAGCCTCTTCGGGTAAGAGCGAAAAAAATCTCGGAGGTACCGTACCGCGTGCAAGTTGTGCACGTTAAAGATTCCTTAGTGGTCTAACATCATTAAGAGTAGGCTTCGGCTGCCAAACGGAAAATGCTTCCCCGGGCGCTCATATAATCTTATTCTGTTGCAAGCGCCGTGAAACACTTACTCAC